AGGGTGCAGGGTGCTAGATGCCCCTGGGATGTGGCTGTCTCCGCAAGACCAGGGAGGACCATGCCGGCCGGAGGGGTGTGCGGGCCCCGCCGGAGGTGGCGCAGCGGAAACCTCCTGCCAAGCCCTCGCTGCGTGGCTGTCTCCGCAAGACCAGGTAGGACCATGCCGGCCGGAGGGGTGTGCCTGGACCCTGCCGGGCACCGTGCGCCCCAGCCCCACTGCCATGGGGAGACTGGCTCTGGCTGTCCCAGTCCCTGTGGTAGACACGGTGCAGACCCAGGGGTTGGTTCCCCCAAGCCCAAACACCCGTGTCCCCACTCTGTCCTCCTGCCTGGACGGACACCTGGCTCCAGATGGACCTGGGGGTCCCACAGGACCCATTGCTTCCCATGGGACCCCGTCCACCCCTGCTGATCTCCCCAAGCCCCCGCACTTGTGCTCAGCCCCAGCTCCTGCTCCTTCCCCACCAGATGCTCAGCCTCCACCGCCAAGTCCCTGCTCTTCCGATTCCTGCCCTTCCTGCACTGGCTGCCCCGCTACCCAGTCAAGGACTGGCTCCTGGGGGACATCGCCTCGGGCTTCAGCGTGGGCATCATGCACCTGCCCCAGGGTGAGCAATGTCATGCCTAGGCTGCTGGGAGCTCCCCGCAGGCAGGGGGCCAGGGCTTGGCCATCCGTGACATTTCTCCCTGCTCCCCCATGTCCAGGCCTCGCCTACGCACTGCTGGCCGGGCTGCCGCCTGTCACCGGTCTCTATTCCTCCTTTTACCCTGTCTTCCTCTACTTCTTCTTCGGGACGTCCAGGCACAACTCCGTGGGTAAGCTGAGGGACCACGTGCTCCCACGGGGATGGTGGGGAGGGAGTGAGGATGAGGGGGGCAAGCAATCTATGGCACAGCATTGCCATGTCAGTGGTTAGGGGGGGGCCTTTCTTGCCTTTAATTTGCCCCACCAAGAAGGTGGTTGGCCATAGCAGAGCCAAAGCACAGTGGGTGCACTTTGACCCCAGCCCAAGAGGACAGGTGCCTGTGGACCTCAGAGAGGTCCTGGTGCTGACCTTGGGCTCCCTGCCCACACCCTGCCTGTCCCCAGGCCCCTTTGCTGTCATCTCCGTCATGATCGGGAGTCTGACAGACTCCCTGGTGCCCAGTGAGAACTTCCTGGAGTCCGTCAACGGCACCAACACCACGATAGTCAATGAGGAACGGCGTGATGCTGCCAGGGTGGAGCTGGTGGCCACCATCACTGTCCTGACAGGCATCTTCCAGGTAATGGGCCCCAGCCCAGCCTGGCAGGGAACAGGGGTCCGTGGTGCCCCATGGCTGCGAGCTGCGGGGCACTCCTCCTGCCACCTCTCTTTCCAGGTGGCCCTGGGCCTCCTGCAGTTTGGCTTCGTGGTGACCTACCTCTCGGACCCGCTGGTGCGTGGCTATACCACTGCTGCCTCTGTGCATGTCCTCGTCTCCCAGCTCAAGAACGTCTTTGGGGTCTCCCTGGGCGAGCACTCAGGGCCGCTCTCGCTGTTCGTGGTGAGTGGGAGTTTGCTGCTGCCCTGGGACCCCCAGGCACTCACCTGTGGGGCACACAGAGGCCCCCAAAACCCTGCCGGGGAGGCATCTGCTTTCCTGAGCTCATTCCTTCCCCCTGCGTCCTCTAGACCTTCATCGAGATCTGCCAGAAGCTGCCAGAGACCAATGTGGGCACCCTGGTGACGGCCATCATTGCCATGGTGGCCATCTTCATCGTGAAAGAGCTCAACCACAAGTTCGCTGCCAAGCTGCCCATGCCCATCCCCATTGAGCTTGTCACGGTACCCAGAGCTGCCCCAGCTCCCTGTGGGGACACAGCCATGGGTGGCCCTATCCCCTCGAGGGTGGGGAGGGGTGGGATGGGGTACCTTGGTGAGTGCAGTTCCAGGGCATGAGTCCCCTCCTCCTCCTCCTCCACCATGGTCCCTGCGCAGGAAGGCTCTGCCTCACTCCAGCCATCCTCCCCCAGATCATCATCTCTACCGGCATCTCCTACGGCGTCAACCTGAACGCCAAGTTTGGCATCTCCGTGGTGGGCAACATCCCCAGCGGGTGAGCAGGGCCAGGCGGTGAGGGTGGCTGTGCCAGGGCACCATGCCGCCCACGGGACCCCCCTTTTGATCCCCATCTCCCTGTCTTGGCTGTAGGTTGAAGCCGCCTGTGGTCCCTAACGTCAGCTACTTTGGGCAGGTGGCGGGCAACGCCTTTGCCATTGCCGTGGTGGGCTACGCCATCTGCATCTCCCTGGGCAAGATCTTTGCCCTGAAGCATGGCTACAAAGTGGACAGCAACCAGGTGATGCTCCGACGCGCAGGGCCCCTTCCCTGGGTGAAAACCAAGCTTGTACTTGCAGCTGGGGGAAGGCATGGTGGTCCCCCACCGCTTCTCTGTCCCTGCAGGAGCTGATCGCACTGGGCCTCTGCAACTTCCTGGGGGGCTTCTTCCAGTGTTTCGCCATCAGCTGCTCCATGTCGCGGAGCCTGGTGCAGGAGAGCACAGGAGGCAACAGTCAGGTGGGTCCAGCTCCGTGGGGCTGGACCAGGGGCAAGGAGCACAGCGAGTGGTGGGGAGCTCACCTCTTGCCTCCCGCTCTCCTTCCCCTCAGGTAGCTGGTGTCATCGCATCCCTGGTCATCCTGGTGACCATTCTGAAGATCGGAGAGCTCTTCCGGGACCTGCCCAAGGTACATCTGCTCTCACAGCCTCCATGCCATGTCCCACCCCTGTGCCTGTCCCATGGCAAGGTGGTGTGGCAGGGGAACAGCCAAGGACCCTCCCAAGACCTGCCGTCAGCATCCTCACAGCTGCAGGGACTTCTCTCCTAGGCCATCTTGGCTGCCATCATCATCGTCAACCTCAAGGGCATGTTCAAGCAGTTCAATGACCTCCGCGTGCTCTGGAAGTCCAACCGGGTGGACCTGGTAAGGCGCTGACCGGCCCTGGGGCTTTGCTCTTGTCCCTGGAGAGGGTTTCTCCATCCTCCCTGAGGCTTGCAGGTGCTGGCAGGGAGGCTGTGCCGCAGCTGACCATGTCCCCCCCTCCAGATGGTCTGGATTGTGACATTTGTGGCCACCCTCATGCTGAACTTGGACATTGGCCTGGGGGCCTCGGTGGTCTTTGGACTGCTCACTGTCATCTTCCGCACCCAGCTGTGAGTACCCCGGGGCTGGGGCCGGTGCCGCGTCCTGAGGGCAGGGGAAGCTCATGGTGACCTCAGCCCCTTGCTCTGCTTCCCGCAGCCCCCACTACTCCATCCTGGGGCGCATCGCTGACACCGATGTCTACAGGGACGTGGCTGAATACCAGATGGTAACAGCACCAGGGGGTGGGAGAACCACCTGCAATGGGGGGGGCAGTTCAAAGCACCCCCAGGGGCTGTTCACCGGTGAAA